CCTCCCTCCCTCCCTCCCTCCCTCCCTCCCTCCCTCCCTCCCTCCCTCCTCCTCCCTCCCTCCCTCCCCTCGCTCCCTCCCTCCCTCCCTCGCTCCCTCCCTCCTCCTCCCTCCCTCCCTCCCTCCCCTCCCTCCCTCCCTCCCTCGCTCCCTCCCTCCCCTCCCTCCCTCCCTCCCCTCCCTCCCTCCCTCGCTCCCTCCCTCCCTCCCCTCCCTCCCTCCCTCCCTCCCTCCCTCGCTCCCTCCCTCCCTCCCTCCCTCCCTCGGGAGGTGCTGACCTCCAGTTCCTGCAGGTGCGCTCCTCTCTCTTCGGCCGCCCCCTCGTCTTTTGGTCCTTCCCTCTGTCTGCCGATCCACCCTCCCTTCTCCTGTTCCCCCCTCCTGCCTCGTTTGCTCTGTTCCGCCCCCCCCCCCCTTCTTCTTCCCCTACCCTCCCGTTCCCCGCTCCTCACCTTTCACTCCGCCTCTCCCCCCAACCCTCACCTCCCCGCCTTTCTCCCCCTCTCCCCAGGAGTTCTTCCTGGCGCATCCAGAGCGGCAGGGGCGCGAGTTTTACATCACTGGGGAGTCGTACGCGGGGCATTACATCCCTGTTGTTTTCCCCCCCGCTCCCCCGCCCCCCGCCCCTCCCCGCCCTCCCCCTCCCCAGGAGTTCTTCCTGGCGCATCCGGAGCTGCAGGGACGCGAGTTTTACATAACGGGCGAGTCGTACGGGGGGCATTACATCCCGGCTGTGGCGGACAGAGTTGTTATCGGCAACAGGCGCGAGGAGGGGCTACCTGTTAACCTCAAGGTGGGTCGGTTCATGTGTGCTTTGCTGCTTCGCCATTACAGCCGAGTCGTACGGGGGGCACTACATCCCGGCTGTGGCGGACGGAGTGGTCGTCGGCAACAGGCGCGAGGGGCTGCCCATCAACCTCAAGGTGAGTCAGCTGTGCGGCTGCTTCTCTCCATGTGTGCATGCACACTCACACGGACTGCTCCCTAGACCACCAGCTGGACCACTTCTCCAAAGCTACTCCTCTCCCCTTCTCTCCTCTCCCCTTCTCTCCCCTCCCCTTCCCGCTTGTGTCTTCTACGCCTCCGCCCCTCCTTTCTCCCTTGTGTGTTTCCCTTCCTCTTCCCCCCTTCCCCCCCCCCCCTCTACGTTCCCCCTCCCCCTCCCTTTTTTCAATCCAACCCCCCCCCCAGGGAGTGGCAATAGGCAACGGCATGACACACCCCGAGGTGCAGTTTCCCAGCTACCCCGTCTTTGCCCACTCACGCGGCCTGCTCTCAGACGCGCAGCTGCACCACTTCCAGCTCTTCAGCAAGCCCTGCCACTTCGCCGCGCACTCCTGCGGTGAGTGAGAGGGAGGAAGGGGTGGAGGCGAGGGGGAGTGGAGGGGGAGGGGTGGGTGTGGATGGATGGTGATGTGTCCAGACTCGAGTCAGCCCATATGATCCGCCCACCACCACCAGCTGCACCTCTTCCAGCTCTTCAGCAAGCCCTGCCACTTCGCCGCGCACTCCTGCGGTGAGTGGGGTGGGGCGAGCGAGGGGGAAGAGGGGAGGGAGTGTGGGGTGGTGGATGGGTGGCGATGTGTCCAGACTCGAGTCAGCCCATATGAGCCACCCAGTAACAGCTGCACCACTTCCAGCTCTTCACCAAGCCCTGCCACTTGGCCGCCCATTCTTGCTTGCGGTGAGAACGAGAGGGGGAGGGGAGGGGACTGGAGCAGGTTGGAACAGTGGGGTGGGGGGAGAAGGTGCTGGAAGGGGAGGGGAGGGAGGCGGTTGGGGCGTGGGGAGGCCCGTAGCTCGTCCAACCGTTGTGTGTCCTTAGAATCTCGCTTGACTGAAGCTACCTCGTTGTGGCAGGCAGGCACTCGCTCAGCCTTTCCCATCCCCTCTCCCCGCCTCTCCCCCCCTCCACGCCTCTTCCCACCTCCGCTCGTTTAGTTCAGGGACGTGCCCATTTTCTACTTCAACTAAACGCTCTCCACTTTTCCTGCATTTATTAAGCTGTTGTCACCCCGTCCCCTCTCCCTTCCCTTCACGCTGCCCCCACCCACCTTCCCACCTCTCCTCCCCTGCTGCTCCTCCGCGCTTTCCCACGTCGCCCCCCAACCCCGCTCTTTCCCTCTATGTCCACTCACAATCACCTCCCTTTTCCCCTATTCTACTCTCCTAAACCCCTCCCCCCCCCTGTGCAGGAGAGTCGGGGAGAATCAGCTGTGGGGCAGCGTTCATCATATGCGAGCAGTTCTGGAGCTCCGTATATGCTGCCACGGGCTCAGGCACCCTCAACGTACGCCCTTCCCCTCGCCTCCGCCCCCGCATCCGCTCCCGCCCCCTCCCCCGCCGCCGTCCATGCACTTGCCCCATGTCCGTTCTCATGTGCTGCTATGCTGCTTTCTCCACAGTCCACCCACTTCTGTGTATGCCGCTATGCTGCCACCACCAGCTCAGACCACCTCAACCTCAACGTTTGCTCATGCCCATGCTCTCGCCCATACGCTCACGAATGCATGCCCACGTGTTTTGCTTTCCACGCGCCCCTCGCCCTGGTCTCTCCCCGGTTCTGGGGCTCTGTGTATGCTGCTAGCGGTTCAGGCCACCTTAACATACGCCCATCCTGTTGCCCTCGTCTAGTTGCATTGCATGCCCACGTGTGCACGTGGCTACCAGTTCAAGCCACCTCAACATGCGCCTTTCGCCTCGTGCTCTCATCTAGTTGTATGCCCACGTGTGTGCGCGGCTACCAGTTCATTCAACGTACGCGCTTGAATAGAATTGGTAGCCAAGCCACTATCCATCCGCCGCCCACGTGTGTGCGTGGCTGCCAGTTCAAGCCACCTTAACGTGCGCCCACGCCCCATTCATGTTCTTCCCCTTCCTCCGCTTACCGTCCCATCCCCACCCCTCCTTCCTCGCCTTTCGCCTCGCCCACCCTCTCGCCCTCGCCTTCCCCTTCCCCTTCCCCTTCCCCCAACCCGCCTCCAATCAGCCCTACGATGTGCGCATAGAGTGTGGAGACGACCCTTTGTGCTACGACATGTCAGCCGCTGACAAGTTCCTCGCACTCCCCTGGGTGCGCAAGGCGCTGGGCGTGGGCGACCGCAAGTGGGAGAGCTGCAGCAGCCGTGTGTATCATGCCATGCTCTTTGACTTCATGAGAGACCTTGCTCCCAAGGTTCCTCACCTGCTCGCTGCACACGTGCGCGTGCTGGTGTATGCTGGCGACGCTGACTATATCTGCAACTGGATCGGTGAGTGCCATGCAGGAGGGGGCGGACAGGGTGGGGGGAGTGGATAGGGGAGGTGCCTCACCTGCTCGCTGCAGACGTGCGCGTGCTGGTGTATGCCGGAGACGCTGGCTGGTGTGAACTCATGAAGTGGCCCGGCATGGACCGCTTATGCCAAGACGACCCAAGCCGCACCCCCGTTCTCTCTTACCTCCCTCCCTGCCGCACCTCTTGTTGCTCTATCTCTCACTCTCCTCTCTCTCCTCTCTTTCCTCCCTCCCTCCCAGGCAACTCGTGGTGGTTCGACTCCATGAAGTGGCCGGGCATGGACCGCTACGCCAAGGCCTTATCCGAGCTGGCTAGAAGGCAAGGCCTTTCTCCTCCATCTCTGGCTTTTCCTGCACTCCCTCCCTCCCAGGCAACTCGTGGTGGGTGAACTCCATGAAGTGGCCCGGCATGGACCGCTATGCCAAGGCCCCGTGGCAGCCCTTCGTTGTCAACGGCCAGACCGCTGGATCCGCTAGAATCGCCGAGCCGCTCTCCTTCCTGCGCGTGAGTTGCCTTCCATGTAGGCATTGCTTTGTTTGCCTTCCATGAAGTGGCCCGGCATGGACCGCTGCTAAGGCCCCGTGGCAGCCCTTTGTTGTCAACGGGCAGACGGCTGGATCGGCTAGAATTGCGGAGCCTCTCTCCTTCCTGCGGGTGAGTTTGGTTCTAGTCATCGCATGGCGAGGACCCCCTCTTGCTTCCCTCTTGCTTTCGCTTCTCGTTCCTCTGCTTTTTTTTTCCTCTCGTCCTGCTGGGAACCCCTCTCCTGTTCACGCTTTTTACTCTTCTCCACGTTTCTCCCCTGCCTGTGTCTCCTCTTTCTCCCTCCCCCTCTCCCTCTTCCTCCCCCCACCAGGTGCATGAGGCGGGCCACATGGTTCCCATGGATCAGCCCGAGGCATCTCTCGAGATGCTCCGCCGCTTCATTCTCAACCTGCCGCTGCTCGACGGCTCAGATTTCGCGTCTGGCTCCGCCGGCGATCTGGACGGTCCAGAACGCGAGGAGTGGATAGGTATGGAAATGGTCGGTTCTGATCGCTTGGTGAACGGGGTGATTGTAGCCGATGGTGCTGGTGAGCGGGCTGTGGGTGTTGGTGCTGCTGCTGAGGCTGATGCTGATCCGGTGGTTGGAGCAGCTTCAGATGTGCTGATGACAGTGGAATAGTTACAGCTTGCCACTGCTGCTGCTGCTGCTGCTGCTGCTTCAAGTGCAGCGGCTTCTGCTGAAGCTGCTGTTGTTGGAGGGAGGGGCATTCTGACACTGGTATTGAGATCCTACTCTATCTTGGTGGAACAGGAAGAATAGCGTGAAGTGTTACAACCGGTGCTCCTACCGCTTTTTCTACGGTTGTCCATGGTTTCTTATAGAAGTGTGTGTGTTTGTTGCTTCTGCCTTGTGGAGGTCTGGATGAAATTGTGTGTAATGGTGGTGAAAGACGTTGTACTTGTTTTTGTATCGGTTTAAACTTCGGATGAAATGTACTGTGTTTACGTTACTGTCTATCAGAAAGATTTGTGTAAGAATTGCTCTCTACAAAGATTTCTCTTTAGAGCCTTAACAGTTACAATACAGGGGTACCCTTATCATTACCGTATCGCATGTGCTTACCACATATCCTCTTGACTAATAGGCCTATGGGCTGTTGCCTATGTATAAGCGCATATATGAGTGGCATTTTTTTTACCTTACCGTATTAGCGCATGCGCCTTTGTTCGGCCCAACTTACCGTAATCACTTTTTCATGATTATCGATGATGAGCGAGGGTTTTTAGCTAGGCAAGGACATCGGAAGGGAGGCTTGGCACATGTTAGCCGCGCGCAACTTCTGAAGGCGACTCGAGGTAGTATCAAATGAAATTGTTGGGGAATCTAAAAACATTTGGCTATCACAATATGAATATCCGCCGCAGGATGTACTAACGTTTGACTCTCCGTACCAGGTATGGAAGGACTTGATGGGTGAGCACTTGAAGATGATATGATGCAGTGTCTCGAAGAATCAAGCCTCTCTTGACAAAGCACTGCATGCAAAAACACACATCAACGTTATGAATGCTGATCATTTTGGGCTGCGGGCTGTAAGAAATGGAGAAGTTTATATTCTCTGGATCTCTACTATGTTTCTTGAGGAGCCGTGTTTTTAAAGCGGACTTGGATGCAGCAAAACCGCCGCCGCCACAGTATTGGTAACTTGCCGAACCTCCAATTCCAATTTGACGTGCCCAAGGCGCTCTCCCCGGCCTATCCTCCTTGATAAGGTCATGCTTCGAGGCGTGCGCCACTGTGGGACGTCATCAAGCACGAATACAACAGCCAAATACAAGAGCAGGACGTCAAATTCGCAAGCACGAACCCTCGTTATTGCTCCGGCCCGGCGACAGCCCTTGCTTACTACTGTTCACCTGTGGATTCCCCACAGTAAGCAGACCGCCATTGGTCGCCGTTTCGCTGGTGACGTCTATGCGAAACTCGCCTGTGTCCTCATCGGCCCACGTATCTTCCGCAAGCGCCCCCGTTTGACGGATTGCTGTGTTGATCACAAGTCGCGAGCAGCAGTAGTTGTTGGCACCAAGGAGGTGCCGAGCGCATGTGCGACCTCGCGCTCCGTCCGTCCCATACGTCGTGACGATGACGGCTTGCCCAATCGACGACGTATTCGGGACCAGACCTGTAATTCCTGGTTCAACGAGCACCCAGCAGGTACGGGGGCAACGCTGTCATATCACCTCACCTACCATCTCGTTTCGTGATTCGTCAGCGGCGAGACTACAGTTCCCTTGGTTCTTGTCTCCCTCAGACGTAATCTCTCCAAACCAAACTTCGGGCTTGCCTTGCAATTCCAAGCCTAATTCAGCAAAAGCCAAACCATGCATCCGTGCGTCTTCAAGATTATCCCGACCACCCGTAAAGAACCACCGAACCAAGTGGTGAGGTTCCCCTTCGAGCCCTTGGTTTGCCTCAGTCGACAAACCTAAAAGCACGACGAGCATCATACCTTGAGTTACCCACCTGGCTTCCCCTCCGTGTTCCCCGCTAGTATTCCCGACATCTGCTCCTCACACGCGTTTCTCAAGGGGGAAGCTAGGGCAGGGCTCCGTCAAGGGTGGTGCCATCCTACCTAGATGTTCCACGGTCCACCTGCTTGGTTTGTGGAACTTGTTGGTAACTCCAGCTTCTTCCATCAAATTATAGCTTACCACGCCAACCTCTAATATGGTCGCCTCCGTAGCTCCTCGGACCACTTTACTTTGTCAACGAAAGATGTTTCTATATCGTAGAAAACCGTTTGTAATAGCAGGGGGCGTCCGCTGTCGCAGCCGCTTTCCTCTTTAGGTATTTTCTCTACCTTCTACTATTCTCCGAAAGCCCTGTGGTGGTCCCTGTTGAAGCCCCATATCTCGCTGAACAATAATAATATAAGTTTGACGCTTTCACCCTTCCCGTTCTCCTGGACATATAGACGAATCGGTTCAGCATACAGGCTGGTGAAGGTCCCTTCCAAGTTCTGAAGTCTCAGCGTGTAGGCTAGTTAAGTTCCCTTCTCAGCTATTAAGGTTCAACGTACTGGGTAGTTAAGCTCCTGGTTGAAAGAAGTTCAGTCTATCCTATCGCTGTGTTCCTGGACGAGCGAGGATCGTGGGTTGGACGAGCGAGGGTCGTGGGTATCCTGCGATCAACGTGCGATCTCGCAGTGGATGGCAGTGGTTCATCCTTCCTCGGTGCACCACAGAGCATCATCCAACTCACCCACTGAACGGTCATCAATCGACAGTCGAACTCTTCGCCCGGCCCAGGTTCAGCCCAGCACGCGCGAGCGGTCGCAAGAGCACGCAGATGATAATCGCGAAAACGTGGCTGGTAACCAGTCTTCCTCCACTGATCGCAGACTCAGTGACCCATCTACATCGGCCCGGGCAACGGTTGTAAGAAGCAAAGGAAGCAGCAGTTTGGGCGTGTCAGCCGCCGAAACATGTACGGTAGTTAATTCTGACTCACCTGCTCAACCTCTTTCCCGCCACCAGCTCCCGCCGCACCCTCCGCCGTTCCCCTTCCCGGCTTCCACCCGTGTCGCGAACCCCCCGGGGAATTCCGAAGCTCCGGGCAGCGCGTCCCCCGCTGCTAAGCCGTTCGAGCGACGAACCTCATCTGGTGCCGATCCCGCCGGTGCCGGTGTGCGTGCCTCGTCGCCACCCTCAGTTCTTCACACCTCGCCTCCTCGCTCACCGCCTCACTCATCGTCCCACTCATCTTCTAGCTCATCGCCTACCACTCCTCCTAACTCTCTCCTCCCGTTTTCCAACGCCCGTATCCGAACGCCGCTTAGAGACCCCGAGGCTTCCGCGGCGTCGCGCTGGGGGCGCCAGGGTAAGATGGGAGTCGGCGGAGCGGCGTGCGCGGAGGAGCACGACTTGGCGCCGCCGACCGCGCTTTTCACGCCGTCCCCGTCGCCGCCCCCGCAAAAGTGCGCGCGCGTGTCGACGTCTCCGGGAATGAGACTGACGCTACACCCCGCGCAATGCCCCCCCGGATTAAAACTTAAAAGCGCGTGTCACGGCTGCGGAGAGTGCGGGCGTGGCGGCGGGGATTCAAAATCGAAAGCGCTGCTCTGGGGTGTGTCCAGTTTATCGCAGTTGCAGCTGATTTTGGTCTTCTCTGCGTTGCTGCTCACGGCCTCGTTCCTCCTGTCCACCCGCGCAATCGATCTTTCCGCCGTCGATATCATCGCCGCAGCCGCCGCCGCAGGTTCCGGCGGAGACGACGCAGGCGGAAACGGCGAGTACGCCAGCGGCCGAAGCGACCCCGCCAAATTACTGTTTGTCGAGGGCGTGGGGCTGGGTGGGGGGAGCTGGTTACTCGGGGGAACAGGGGGCGGCGGCGAAATTGGCGGCTGGGGGAAACGTGGCGGGGGGCGTGGCCCCTGGGGGAGGGTGAGCGCGGGGGGAGGCGGCGCGGTTGGGAAAGTGACTCGGGCGCTGGTGAGAGGGCGCGACGCGGAAATGGCGGCGATGATGGCGGCGCTGGATTTGTCAGCGTCGGAGGATTTGCTCGTAGGAGGCGACATGGATGAGAAGGTGAGAGAGGTAGAGGCACCGAGAATGAGCGTAATCTTAGTGGAGTGTTGCACAATCTCTCCTTTCTTTCTCTTTCACCACTTCCTCCCCCCCATCCCCACCCTCTCCCGCTCCCCCGTTCCCACCTTCCTCCATTCCCTCTCCCCTCCGTCCCTGCTTCTGCTGCTGGTGCCTTCCGATTCCCTTCTCCCTCACCCTTAACTCTCCGCTCTTTTCTTCCGGTCGTTGTCTTCATGCTTCACTCCTGCGTTTGAATGCCCTCTCTTCTGCCGCATTCCCCCCCCTCCCTCCCCCCGTTTTTCCGCATTGTCTCGCCGCCTTCCCACGCGCGATCTTTATCGAAACGTCTCCTTCCGCGCCGTGTCCCTCCCTCCCCGTGGCTCGTCGTGCTCGTGACACGTCAGCAGGAGCTGCGTCAGCGAATCCAGCTGGTGGAGGACGAGTGGGAGTACTTCCAAGAGGCCCCGTATCGCCTCATCGACGAGGTACGTCGAGTCGCGCCAGTCGGCGCCGCGCAAGTCGCCGATCGCGTGATGGTCGTATCGCCAAATCAGGCGAGACTAGAAGCGAGTTCGATCATGTGGTCACCTATATTCCAGTCCTCACACATCCAGGACCTTCTCGTTTTCTCTTCTTTCCTCCCCCTCTTTTCCCCATCCTCCCCCCAACCCCTACTCTCCCCCCTTCTGGCCCGCCCGCCCGCTCCCCCTTCCCCCCCCTCCCCTTCCCCCTCCCTCCTCCTTTCCGCCTTTCCTCTCCGTTTCTTCTTCCTATACAACCTCCTTTTCCGAAACTCCATCCGCGATATAAGCAGTTTTGGAGGGACGTGTTTGACGCGGCGTACGACGAGCTGGTGGCGCGCGATCCAACGGTCCACGATAAGGCTGTGGAGGAAATCGCACGGCTCTCGGGCAAGTTCTACGACGTTCGAACCATTGGAAATAAAGTGGTATGTGTTGTACAAGGGAAGGGACAACGGATTTCAGTCGGCCTTAGGCGCTTTCTCCCACTCCATTTGAAGAATAATCTCAATGAACGAATATTTTTGTCACGGCAGCGCTCTCTCTCTCTCTTCCGCATTCATCCCTTCCGCGTCCCTTACATTCTCTCCCTCCTGCCCCACTTCACCTCCCTTTTTCCCTTCTCTCTCCTCTCTCCGTCCCTTTAAACCCTCGATCGTTCTGTCCCTCCGCCCCTCCGCGCTCTGTTGGTCAGATATTGGTTCCGAAGGGTGCGGCCGGCAACGAAGCTGTACCTGATAATTCTGATGCTCAGGAGGGCACTGGCGAAGCAGACGCGGGCGAAGGGGGCGAAACGGGAGCAGATGCGCAAGGAGAGGCGGAGGCGGAAGGAGGAGGAGCGGGCAGTGGGGAGAAAGCAAAGCGGGCCAAGCGAATCGAGCAGCAGCAGAAGCAGGAGCAGCGGGAGCAGGAGCCGGGGCAACAGCAGTCGATGACACAGCAGCAGGACACTGGAAAGGAGCAACGAGAGGGGAAGCAAGTGGAAGGACAAGAGGGCCATGAGGAGCAGAACGACGGAACAGCAGAGCGCCATCCAGGAGTGGATCAAACGGTCAGGCTGGAACAGAAGGCAGCAGAGAGGTTGATTGCAGTACCATCGTCAGATACTCCTGTGGAACGAGGGCAAGACACGCAAGGAGGAGGGGAGCAGAGGGTGCAGCGTCAGTTGGACCCCAGGGGTGGTGAAGGGAGTGAGGGGGAGGGGCAGTGGCAGCAGTTGCAGCAAAGACCGTCACAGCCACAGCAGCAGCAGCAGCTGCTGCAGCAAGAGATAGTGAGTCGTGAGGGGGAAGGGCAAAAAGGGGTGAACCTGGAGCAAGAGGGTGGGACGCTGAGGAGTTATGGGAGCAGTTTGGGAGGTGAGGTGACAGAAGCAACTGTTGAAGCAGCTGCTGCTGGTGGTAGTGATGGAAGGGTGGAATTGCAAGGGGTTGGGGAAGGGGAGAGGCCAGGGGAGGTTGGGGAGATGGGGTCGAATCAGGGTCGGGAGGGGCCAGTGGGAGGGACTGTGTCGTTGAGGAGAGAAAGGAAGGGCAAAAGGAGCAAGGCGATTAAGCAGAAAAGGCAGAAGGAGAAGCGAGTGAAAGTCAAGGTTAAGAAGGTGAAGAAGCAGAGGAAGCAGAAGACGAGCGAACAGAGCGGTGAATCAGCCTAGGCATGGGATGGTGGAATAAATTGAGGTGTACATAAATGAGAGGTTCACTGTGTTGTGGTTTGTGCGTAGGGTAATGGATTTCATGTGGACCTGAGAAATGGAGTAAGGGTTGTTAGGCAGTACTGTGTGTTGATTGGACTTGTGGTACATACCTCCTTGCGTTCTGATATTCCTTTTGTTGATTTATCCAATCATACTAAGTCCCTTTTTGCCCCCTAGTGTCATTATTCTTATGCTGTAAATATAGGCGAATGAATCAACCTGTGCTGTGAGGAAATTAGATCGCGACCGTGAAGGTTTGCTCGCGAGTGTCGCGGAGTTCGCTCACGTTGCCAACAGAAGTTGTCAGATGCATTCCTGTTTTCTGAGGAAATGACGGATCGCCCTGTTTTCAAGTTTCCGATACCTTTGAGCAGTGGCTTTGACACCGCCTCGCTTCTCCGCTCGCGTCCGATTCCTTGGGGCAGCTGATTTCGACATTTCCAATTTCCTGTGACCAGGAAAATTCTGAAGTTACCTAGTTTTAGTTTAGTGGCCAGTGGAAAAAATAAAACCCTCTCGGATGGCTGGCCATTTGGGAGGCATCAACCCTAAACACCTTACCTCATGGTGTTTAGGGTTGATGCCTACCAAATGGCATGCCCTCCATGACGGGTGTATATTTTTTTTTTCCCGAGCTCCTCTCGTAATTGACGCGACAATTCAATTTATGATGTCCTGATAAATAAGCACAATATTAGTATCTGGACTCGAAAAGAGGCAATAGCGTAATTTTTTTTTTGGGCTTTAAGGAGATCCCCGGAGGAAACCAACCCCCCGTAGGGAGAAGGCGCTTCGGTAAGAATAGCGTAAATAACTGACCGAAGGTATCGGACTCAAGCGCGAAGCAAGGCGGTGTCAAAAACCACTGCCGAAATAAATCAGAAACCCGAAACCAGGGCGGTCCGTCGTTCCCTCCTGTTTTCTTTGGTATGTCAACTGTGTCGTGTACGAACCACTCCTGTGTGTCAGTGAGTCGAGGCGCATACACGGAGAGTATCGACGAATGATGTAACTTTGCGAGTGGTTAGCCGCCTCCGCATTCGCACGCATGCGGTTTCGTCGTGCGCATTCAGCGAGAGGGAATCTGCGCGATCATTTTCACAAGCATGGATGGACCCTTCCCTTGGGTCTGGCTGGGAAAAGTACTGGACAAAAATGACACGCAGATCTGGACAGAACTGTGCACAAGCCCTGGGATGGTCTCGAAGGCTCCCTTGGGTCTCGCATTTTCGCCAGTTCTGATCTGACAACATTCTTGGGCCTGCCATGAAGATCCCAACACTCGCGTTCCACACACGCAGCCATGCAAATCCCAAGGCTTGAATTCCACACACAGGTATACGTGAACATGTGTCTGTAAATTCATTACATTCTGCTGGATTGGGCGTGGAGTTCCTTAGTCAAACTTATGAACGTGAACCTGTGTAGGTTTATGTCGTCTTGCGGTGACAACGAATAATGCATTCCCTCAATGGAGCATGGTAATGCTCCTGACTCAGTCCTGGTTCGGCGATACCTCTCCATTGTCCGTGCTTCATGCACTCTGAATGCGATGCGAGCTCTCTGATGCTAGTGGGATGCTTAGCACAGACTAGGCAGCAAACCTTGTTTGTGATATACTCGTTATTAGCTTTTCTGTAATCCTTCAGACCGCTACGTTACCCTTGGCATTGTCTAGCATGCGTCAGAGACCCGCCAATCGTCGCGTTTTTTCTCCTCGGTATCAAATCCCCTAGTTTTTCCGTTAATTTGAGATAAGGCTTCCTGTTCAGGTCCAATATGTCGCATTGCGTTCCGATATCGACCACCCGGGTCTTACATTACTTGTAAATAATCAAAATATCAGTGTCACATCATTAACTAATCGCATCATCCTTAATAGCACACCGCGTCGCCCTTCCCTTCAACCACTGGCCGCTCGCAGCGCACATTCCTCCTCTCGACATAGTACTTTGAGTTGCCGTCGACCGATTTGTACGGATTCAACTCTATTTCGACCCGCTGCATTGGTTTCAGACCAATCCTGAGACAGAAGCTCCTCCCGTTACCTATCATCACCATTCGCTACTCGCCGCTAGCCACTCCCACGCCATAACGCGGCGCGTAAGTCGCCAAAGTTCTAGGCGGAATGAGGCCTTTAAGACGCACGCAGCAGCCGTCGGATCATGGCCATACTGTCTCTCAGGAAACTTCCTCTTTCGGCGGATTAGTTCCGGGATCGGCCAGCAAAGAGAGGGAGATTCCCCGCAAGGTCGACCTTCTGTGTCTTTAAACGAAGCTGCTACAAACGGAAGGACGGTCAAGCATTCGCTTTTCGGCATCGGCGGTGCTCCTGATAGCTGTGGTCTTCCTGTGCCTTGTCTCGGAGGTGTTTCTACGGTCGAGATTCAATCCTTTCGGGGAGGTCAGCGCGATCGGCGCGTCGCTTATGTTCTCGACAAGCGATTCGGCATGCAGCTTTAAAGACCCAGCCAAGCAGCAGGCAGGTTGCTAAGCTATTAAGAACTGTCATTGTGCCTTTATGGCATATGAGGCAGGGATGCGTGCAGCATCTGAATGACCTATACTGCTTCTAATGAATCAATGCAGGCACTTCGTCTCTTGATAGACAGTACGGTCTCCCTGTTTTACCTGTTTCTCGCTCGTTCACACCCACCATCCTTCTCCATGTTCTCCTTGTTCCTCGTCTGTTCTCCCAATCCCTCCAGGCTTGCTTATCTACGAAGCTGCTCCACTGCGCCACGGCGACAGCATCCCACCGCGCCTTCCTTGCTGATTTAGAGACGTCTTTTATCGCGCTGCAGCGTGCGATTAGCCTGTCAGAAGCCGAGCGGTTGGAGCAGGAGGAGAAGGATAGGGCTGGAGAGGGTTGGAGAGGCAACAGCACGAGGTCTGGTGCTGGTAGTGCTGGTGGCACAGGTAATGTGACCAGTAGTGATAAGAATGCTGCTGGTGACACTACTGCTTCTGCTTCTGGTTCTGTTGCTGATCCTGCTGATGTGGCTGCAGATGTGACGAGAGAGTCCCAGGAAGTGCCACGTGTCCTGATCCAACACGTGGCGAGACTGCAGCAGCTACTAGACAGACACAGGCAGGTGCTGGCTTCTGAAGAGGCGGCAAGATGGCAGGAAGATGGCGATGAGAATCAGACGAATTCGGATGAAAATGGAGTTAATTCCGATCAGGGAACGGATGGAGGAGAAGGCGGAGGGGAAAATGGAGAGGGTGGGTTGGACGAGGGGAACGAAGGGCGCCTAGGAAGGGAAAGGCGGCCACAGAGGCGGGAGGGGATGGAGGGAGGGGAGGGGGAGATGGCTGAGAGGTTGCTAAGAGTGTGGGGAATTGTGGGTGGTGTGCGTGCGACCGAGGGTAATGCAAGCAAGGAGGCAGAATCAGGACTCGAAAAGAACCTTCTCAAACTGGGTTTCAGTGGCAGGGAAGAGGAGGGGTTTGCGGAAGGTGGGGAGGCGAGACACGAAGATGGGGATTCGGGGAATGGGGGAGATGGGATGGGGGTGGAGAGCCCACGATGGTCGATAGCTGAGGTGCTGAGTGCTGCCCAACTGCCGTATCCATCTTATATTGAAGACTGCAGTGCTGCCAGTGCAAGGAACCGGTATGGCTCGGTGCTTGTTCGCGTGCTTGTTCGTGTGTTTGTTCGCATGTTTGTGGTTATTAAATCTGCCTCTCCCATTCCTGCTCCCTTCCACTGTAAGACAAGCTGCTGTATTCCCTCTCTCTCCCTCTTCCCCCCCGTTTTCCCTCCTCCCAACCCCAACCGTGGCCCGTCCGTTGCCCCTCTTCCCTCCTCCCTGTCCCCCCTTTGGCCTCGCCTCTCCTTTCCAACTTCCCACGCTGCTTGTTTGAGTGTCGTTCTTTGATTCACCTCTACCACCTGTGTGCTTACGTGAGATGGTGAGCGGACAGGCAATCAGCTGCAACTTGCAATCTGCCCTCTCTGCTCCCACCCACCCCTGCAGCCTGTTGGACTCTCGCTCCCCCAACGGCTCCCTGCCTGTGTGGATTCAACAGGGAGCCAGACTGCAGCACGCTGTGATGCAGCAATCACTCTCTGATTATCTCAAAACCCCACCGCACCACCCATCCCTGCAGCACGCTGGGATGCAGACTGTATGGAGCCAGACTGCTGCACGCTGTGATGCAGCAATCGCTCTTTGTTGCGTCTCAATACCCCACCGCACCACCCACCCACCCCCACAGCCTGTTGGACTCCCGCTCCCCCAACGGCTCCCTGCCTGTGTGTTTTCAGCAAGGGGCGCGACTGCAGGACGCTGTGATGCAGCAATCGCTGGAGGAGGTGGTGGAAACAGAGGAAGAAGAGGACGTGCTGGGAGCGGATGGGGCAGATACGGCAGAGGAGAAGGCAGGGGTAGCAGAGAGGGCGAGAGACGAAGCCAAAGAAGAGACAGGGAGAGGTGGCGGAGGAGAGGATAGGGCTGCGGATAAGAGAGGGGCGGGTTTCGGGGCGGGGAGGTTGGGGAGGGAGCGAAGAATTGGCGTGCAGCCGAATGTGATCAGGCCATTCCCTCCATGGGTAAGTGGGGCATTCTAGACTTCCCCAAGTGTGGTAAAATTCTTTGTGTGTTGCTGGTTGAACATAAGTGTGTGGTTCCACCCGCTGTTCTATTGCAGAATGTTCCATGGAACCGCACACTTGTGTTCGGTCCTCTCTTCTGCTGATCCGGTCCCCACTAGTGTCCAGTTCTCACCCTTCGTCTGCCTCGCCTTCCAGAACCTCAATCCTGCACAAGTAAAGCTGTGCCTGTATGGCGGTGCTGATGAGAGGAGAGCCTGCGGGTCCCTCTGTTCCATTCCCATCACAGGTGGCAGGTGCGGATGAGGACAACCTTCCTGTCACGCGCAGGGTGCAGCATGACTTGTGGCTGCACCAGCACCCACGGGAGCTGGCTCGCTCTCCCCTTCCCACCCTTCCCCATCGGTCAACCACTGCTGCAACGCTTCCTCTGGTGCTGCTCCCTTCCTCCCCGTTCCTCTATTCCCATTCCCATCACAGGTTACAGGTGCGGATGAGGACAACCTTCCTCTCACGCGCAGGGTGCAGCATGACTTGTGGCTGCACCAGCACCCACGGGACTGCACTTACTTTGACGAAGGCGAGGAGGCATGGGAGGAGGAAGCGGACGGAGGGGCGAGGGCCGAGGGGGAGAAACGGGATGGGCAAGGAGGGGGGGAAGAGGAGGAGCCGGAAGGGAGTGCAGAAGGGAAAGAGGGGAAAGAGAGCGAGTTGGAATCAGGAAAAGCCAGCGCTGCTGCTGGAAGGAGGAGGTTGGGAGGGCAGGATACGTCTGGTGCAGCGAGTAAGGGGAGTGAGGGACTGAAGGAGAAATCACCAGGCAGGGAAGGACGGCCAGCCGAGAAAAAGCCACGGCGGTTCTTATTGGTGGACGGGCGGCAGATATACCGCCAGTACCTCGGTATAGGCGCACAGATCAGCTGGCTCACAGGGGCGCTAGCAGAAGCGGTTAAGGAAAACCGTATTATGGTGATCACGTATTACGAGAGGGCGGATCACGAGGGGTGCAAGGGGGGTGATAGGTCGCGGTGGTCGTGTTATTTTGCTCCGGAGACGTCGAAGGAGTGTAGGAGGAGGGCGGAGGCGTTGGCGGGGGACAAGAGGGCGGTGAGGAAAGGGCTTGTGACGTTCTCGGGAGGGCGCTTTCCCAAGCCGACTCGGTTCTTTCTGTATGACCCCCCCAGGTGGGAGCGGTTTTGGGTGGGTGGGTGTGCGCGTGCGTGCGCGGGTGTGTGTGTGTGTGTGTGTGTGTGTGTGTGTGTGTGTGTGCGCGTGCATGTGTGCGTGTGTGTGTTTGTGTGTGTGTGTGTGTGTGTCCGTGTGTGTGCATTTGTGCATGTGTGTCTGTGTGCGTGTGTGCATGTGTGCATGTGTGCATGTGTGCATGTGTGCATGTGTGCATGTGTGCATGTGTCCGTGTGCACATGTCCTTGTGTGTGTGTGCGTGTGTGTACGTGTTGACTGAGTCAAGACTTGGTGGTGGCTTTTGAGTGCGTGATTTCTCTCCATTCCCCCCTTGCACTCACATTCCTCCCTCTCCTCTCATTGTGTACAAACCACATATAAGCGTATCTCGATTCTCGCTCCCATCTCTCATTCCTTCCCACTATGCCTTGCATTCGTCCCATCCACTCCTCCCCGTGCTCTTCTCCCTTCTCTCGCCTCTCTCTCCCTCTCCCTCCCCTCGCACCCTCCAGGCTATGGGGGGCGACCGTGGCAGCACATGCCGAGGACAGTGGAGATGGGGCACCAAATAGACCGCACCAGCGTGGAATTTTTAGTTGACTCTAAAACCGTCTCCCCTCTCTCGCCTTGCTCTCCCTCCCTCCCCCTCTCTCCTCTCACCCTCCCAGGCTGTGGGGGCGGCCGTGGCAGCACATGCAGAGGACAGTGGAGGTGAATGGGCACCTGATAGACCACACCAACGTGGACGGCAGGCGCTGGTGGTTCGCCCAGGCCACTCGCTACCTCATGCGCTACCGCAGCCCTCTCCTGTGCCACCTTGCCAACAAGGCATGGCACGAGGCGTTTAACAGGGAAGCGGCAAAACAGGCTGCTGCTGCTGCTGCTCAGTATTCCCTTCTCCCTTCTCTCGCCTCCCCCTCGGCCTCTCCCTCCCCTCTCACCCTCCCAGGCTGTGGGGCCGGCCGTGGCAGCACATGCAGAGGACAGTGGAGGTGAATGGGCACCTGATAGGCCGCACCAACGTGGACGGCAGGCGCTGGTGGTTTGCCCAGGCCACTCGCTACCTCATGCGCTACCGCAGCCCACTCCTGTGCCACCTCGCCAACAAGGCTCGCCACGAGGCGTTTGGCAGGGAAGCGGCAGAACAGGCGGTTACTGCTCTTGCGGATGGGTGGCCAGAGGTGAGCTTCTGTTGGGGGGTCAGGGCGGGTAAATGGGCGTGGAAGGTGAAGAGTGGATGTGAGTGAGTGGATATGGTATGAGGGAGTGGGTGTTTGGCAGGGAGGCGGCAGAACAGGCTGTTTCTGCTCTTGCGGATGGGTGGCCAGAGGTGAGCTCCTGTGAGGATTTCAGTGGGGGTGAATGAGTGAGGAAGGCGACAAATGGGTGTTAGTGGATGTGAGGGAGTGGTTGTTTGCCAGGGAGGTGGCAGAACAGGCTGCTGCTGCTCTTGCGGATGGGTGGCCAGAGGTGAGGTTCTGTGAGGGTTTTACTGTGGCTGAATGAGTGGGGAAGGCGAAGAGTGGGTGTGAGAGGTTGTGGAGTGAGTGCGATGGGTGTGACTGAGGCAGTCAGTGAATCGGTGAGTGAATGAGAGGAGGATTTTGTGTGAAGCCTCAGTGCAAGGACAACAGTATCAGAGATTGGGACTGTGGTTTGTGCCTGTCTTCATGCCTGCTTGCCTGCTTGCCTGCCTGCCTACCCACCCTGCCTTAAAGCCCCCGTCTCCGTATCATGCCTCATGCCTACCCACCTTGCGACTCCCTATATATCCTTCTACAGGTGCATCTGACCTCCAAGAAATTGACCAAGCATCTGAAGCGGTACCAAGGGCTAGAGCCTGTATGGGCAGCAGTCAGAGAGGCAGCCGTGGGGAGGAGATACGTGGCAGTGCACGTGAGACAGGGAGACAAGTCCACTGAAATGCGCCTGCTGCCTTTGTCCGCCTATCTGGAACTTGCTGAGAAGGCACGGAGAAACTTCCCGGAGGTTACCACCATGTGGCTGAGCACGGAAATGGAGGTAGGTGGAGTGGTTGGGAGTGGTTGGGTGGCTGGGTATGTGGGCAGGTGGGTGGGTGAGCAGGTGGGTGGGTGGGACCTCAAACCATGCCTTCTTCCCCGCCCCCCACTCCCTCCCCCCCGTCCTCTTCGCCTGTCATAGAACCTCCTTCTTTCCCTCCCTGGCGTCATCTCTGCCCAAAAGGTCATGGTTCAGGTGGCATGGTGCATGCACTCCTCCTGCTCTTCACATCACTTCATCACGTTCCACACATTTCCCTCCTCCAGGTGACTTTTGAGTCGACTCAAAAGTTGCCGCCTCTCAATTACGTTCCACTACTTCCTCCCTCCTCCAGGCACCTCCAGGAAACCTCTTTCCTTACCCGCTTCCCCATCCCTACTGTCTCCCTCCTCTCATTTCATAAGCCACACCCTGTTACTTAACCCCTTCCTCCGCCCCGTCTCCCTGCCATTCTCTCTCTCTCTCTCCAACAGGATGTGGTGCAGGAAGCAACTCGCCTGCTCTCCCCTCGCTGGGCCGTCAAATACACACGCTTTCCCCGGCAAGGCGCGGCTAATATATCCATGAAGTCATATGAATCTGATGTGGGCGTGGGACCGACATCAGATAACGCATTTGTGAATCTGGTTCTTGCAGCTGAGGCGGATTTGTTTGTGGGAACGCTGGGGTCGACTTGGTCTGTGCTGATCGATAATCTGAGGGTTACTGGGGGAAAGGAACGGGCTGGGTTTCTGAGTGTTAATAAGGATCGGTATTGGTTCAGCAAAAGAGTGGTTGGGGAAGGGGGGAAGGTGGGAGGTGGTGGTGGGTTGTGATTAGAGCAAGGAGGGGGTAGTGTAGCATCATAGTGCTGGCTAGCGCAAGACATGCAACGACGCGACACCACCGTAGTTGGAACCATGTTGTCTAACTAGTTTTGGGGAAGATTGCCCTGTGGTGCGGTGTGGCTCATCATGAGTTTTAAAATACGGCGTACTTAACACTCGGTGTTGCATCAACAGTTTACTTTTCCCTTGTTGGAGCCTATGTCCCACTATGCCTCTTCATCAGGGCTCTCTTTTGACGGGTAAACCACCCTGATTACCCTTGCTATGGGCCATGTTTTGCCATTTACCCTTATTTTTTAAGTGCATTTGATTTGTCACCCTGGTGTAAAAAGTGTAGTTTTTTTTTTCCCCTGGATTGATTAGGGTTCCGGGATTTCTACCCTGGCGAAACAGGGTGGGTGAAAAAGCACCCTGAAGCCGAAACTCCCTCGCACGTGATCGGAACACAGGGAAAATCCCCGCCTGAATCAAAACACCCTCGGCAAATTGCACGGCCGACAGCCTGGCTGGCTGTCGTTTCCTGCAAGAATAGCTCACAAAGTCCCACTCACCCTGCTTGCAAAGTACAGCGCATCCTTGTTTGATGGTAAGGTGGGCAGCAGCATGCACTGCCACTGGTGCTTCCTTGCTGCCTTCAAGGACAGCACATGTGTGTGGGCAGCAAGGACTGCCAGCAGTGCTGGAATGTTGCCATGGAGGACAAGTCTGATGGGAAGAAGCATGGCGACGCGTTCAAAAGAACGAGGCCAAGAATGGGACCTCAAGGTTCATCCCATTCTTAGCGTTGGTGTGATCGCACCATCCAGTGTCAAAATGTTATAGTGTTTACTTTGTGTAGGCTATAGTGGGGTAGCCCATAAGGGGTACAACCCAATCAGGGTTAGTACTTGTACCCAACTCTTTCATAGTTCATTCATTTTTCTCGTTCTATAGTTTGACATGGTTTCAGAGCAGGTCCTTCCCTAGGACCGAATTATTTTAGGGCCCATCACAGAGCTGCCCCACTAGCTGCCCTGCAGCCCTGCCCTAACGGCCCGCCGCCCTGCTGGCCGCTGCGCCGCCCCTAGCAGCCCGTCGCGCCGCCCTTAGCAGCCCGCGAGCCGCCCCTGCAGCCAACGCGCTGCCCCTGAAGCCAGCGCGCTGCCCCTGAAGCCAGCGCGCAGCCTCTGCAGCCCGCTCACCGCTCACTTGCGGCCCGCGCGCCGCCTCTGCAGCCCGCTCGCCGCCCGCTTGCGGCCCGCTCGCCGCCCTTGTGGCCCGCTCGCCGCCCTTACGGCCCGCTCGCCGCCCTTACAGCCCACTCGCCGCCCTTGCCGCCCGCTTGCGGCCCGCTTGCCGCCCCTGCAGCCCGCTCGCCCCTCGCCTGTGGCCAGCTCGCCGCCCCTGCAGCCTGCTCGCCGCCCGCTTGCGGCCCGCTCCCCGCCCCTGCAGCCCGCTCTCCGCTCGCCTGCGGCCCGCTCGCCGCCCCTGCAGCCTGCTCGCCGCCCGCTTGCGGCCCGCTCGCCGCCCCTTGCAGCCCACGAGCCGCCCTCTTGCAGCCTGCGCGCCACCCCTTGCAGCCCGCTCGCCGCCCCTTGCGGCCCGCTCGCCGCCCCTTGCAGCCCGCTCGCCGCCCTCTGGCAGCCCGCTCGCTGCCCCTTGCAGCCCGCTCGCCGCCCTCTGGCAGCCCACGCACCGCTCTCTGGCAGCCCGCTCGCCGCCCTTTTTGCAGCCCGCGTGCCCGCCTTTTTGCTTGCGCCGCCCGGCTAGTGCCCGTCCCTGCAGCCACCCCTGCTGTGCGCCACCCTGCTGGCCGCCCTAGCCGTGCGCCACCCTACCTTACCCTGCGCGCTTCCCTAGTGCTCGCGCGCCGCCCTGCCTGCGTGCTGCTCTGCTGGTCGCGCGCCACCCTGCTCTGCCCGCTATGGCTTCTCTCAGTGTACTCACCTTCGATCATGAGGGCCGTCCGATCCAGTTCGATACGTGGCTCGACGACTTACAGCTGTACCTACTGAGCGATTCTAGAGACAGCGTTTCGTTGTTTGACCACACGTCTGGAGCCTCTCTCCCCCCTCCCGCCACAGCTGACAGTGCGACTCGCTCACTTTGGCTTACCCGTGACGCTGCCGCTCGCTTAGTCGTTCGCAACCACCTTCCGTTAGCCGAATGCGCTCACTTCGGACAGCACAGGACTGCACAGGCCCTGTACGACGCTGTAGTCGCCCGTTACTCCTCGCCTGCCACTGCTGCTCTAGGCCGTCTCCTCCTGCCATACCTGTTTCCCGAGCTGTCCGCCTTTGCCACAGTAGAGGACCTCGTTACCCACCTTCGCACTAGCGACGCTCGCTACCGCGGTGCCCTCCCAGCAGAGTTCCTTCACAGGAACCCCCCCCCCCGATGTACATCACTCTCTACTTTATAGTCACCCGCCTCCCTGACTCTCTTCGCGCTGTCACGGACCACTTTCTCGCACTTGACACCACAGACCTTACTGTCGACCTGCTCGAGAAGCACCTCATTGCAGCTGAGACTAGCGTAGTCGGTGTAGGTGCCGCTCCTGGCACTCCTCGCACGCCCTTCTTTGAGGGGTGCTCCCCCTCCCCCCTTGCCCCCTCCTACGCCTCTGCTGCTGCTGTTGACATCCCTGGTGCTGAGGATGTCGGGGCTGCTTCTGCTATTAGTGGGAAGCGCCGCAGCAGCAAGGGCAAGGGTGGCAGGAGTGGTGGCGGTGGCAGCGGGGGTGGTGGTGGGGGCGGCAGTGGAGGTGGTGGAGGTAGCGGAGGTGGTGGCAGCGGTGGGAGTGGTGGCGGGAATGGGGGCGTTGGTGGCGGCGGTGGTGGCAGCGGTGGGGGTGGCGGTAGTGGCGGCAGTGGGAGTGGTGGCAGTCGGGTTGGAGCTGTTCAGAGGGGAGGTTCTGGCGGTGGCCAGAGGCAACAACAGCAGCGTCGGAGCGAGACCCCTTCTCCCCAGGAGCTTCGTGAGTCGTTTGCTTAGCGTGGGGCGTCCGGGGGTAGTTTTTGCTGCCCGTATGTCATTCGCACGGGTGAGCGTGCTGGTCAGACATGCAGGAAGCCTCACTCTCAGCACCACTGCTTCTCCCGCCTAGACGATGCTTGGCGCGCAGAGTTTGGTGACGAGGCTGAGCGCCCCCGCTGGGCAGAGCTGCTTAGGTATGGAGTTGATATCTTTGTTCTTAACTATGATGCTATGTGTGCCTGTGTGTGCCGCCCAACCCAGGTATAGAGGCTGCTGCTCTAGGTGCTAGTGAGTCTGCTCTCCCTGGTACTGCGCTTGCTGAGGTCTTGCACACCTTTACACTTGACTCAGGTGCTTCCCGCTGTTTCTTTCGCGACACTACCACCCTCACTCCTCTCTCTGCACCTGTACCGGTCAGACTGGCTGACCCCTCAGGGGGCCCAGTTCTTGCCCGTTCCTCCACTGTTCTCCCGTGTCCGGCGGTTCCGTCCGGCTCATTATCAAATCTTCACCTCCCCTCGTCCTCTACGAACTTGGTGAGTACCGCTGCCCTCCAGGATGTGATGGTCACTACCACCACTCCTGGGGGTCAGCGTGTGTCGATTTGCACGTGTACACAGACGGGCCGTCACCTGGCCACGTTCACCCATAGGCCTGGGTCGAGTCTGTACACACTGGCTACCGAGCCTTCTCAAGTAGCTGCGTCTGCCCAGGTGTCCGCGTCAGGTCCGGTAGCACCCCCCTGCTCGTGTCGCCTCCTGTCGCACCAGACTCTCCTGTGGCACCACCGACTTGGTCACCCCTCCCTGCCACGCCTTCGTGGCATGCACTCCCGCCTCCTTGTTTCTGGTCTTCCCAGGTCTCTGCCTCCCCTCCCACCCTCGCCTGCCCCGCCCTGCCTTCCTTGCGTCGAGGGGCGGCAGCGCGCCGCTCCTCACTCCTCCTCTTTTCCCTCGACGACTGCTCCCCTGCAGACTCTCCACATGGACGTGTGGGGCCCAGCCCGTGTCAGTGGTCAGGGTCGCGAGCGCTACTTTCTGCTGGTTGTTGACGACTATACGCGTTACACCACGGTCTTCCCCTTGCGCAGCAAGGGTGAGGTCTCTGATGTCTTGATCTCTTGGATCCGCACACTCCGTCTCCAGCTCCGCGAGCAGTTCCGCGAGGACCTTCCTGTCCTGCGTCTGCACTCTGACAGAGGTGGTGAGTTCTCCTCCGACCTCTTGCGGGAATTTTGTCATGGGAGGGCATCCTCCAGTCATTCAAGCTTCCGGCCTCCCCGCAGCAAAATGGGATTGCTGAGCGCCACATCGGCTTAGTCATGGAGGTGGCTCGTACCTCCATGATCCATGCGGCTGCTCCCCATTTTCAGTGGTCGTTTGCGGTCCGGTACGCTGCACATCAGCTCAACCTCTGGCCTGGTGTCTCCTTGCCAAAGACCTCGCCGACACTGTGTTGGACGGGGAAGGTTGGCGATGCGTCGGTGTTCCGGGTCTGGGGCTCTCGTGCCTTTGTTTGCGATACGTCTGCGGACAAGCTCTCCTCCCGCGCTATTCCCTGTGTCTTCCTTGGCTTTCCCCTTGATGCGCCTGGCTGGCAGTTTTACCACCCCACCTCGCGCCGTGTCCTCCCCTCTTAGGACGTCACGTTTGACGAGACGGTTCCCTTTTACCGTCTCTTCCCCTACCGCTCTGCCCCTCTCCCACCCCCGCCGCTCTTTCTTGCTCCAGTTCCCCCTCCGGTAGATCCTCTCCCCCCTCAGGGTCCTGCTCCCTTAGGTGTGTCTCAAGTAGACCCACTCCTCGGGACTGTGCCTGTCGAGGTCGCTATAGACTGAGGTGCTGCTAGAGGTACTACATCTGGGGGTGCTACGTCTGGGGGTGCTGAGCCTGCGGGTGCAGAGCCTGGGGGTGCTTAGCCTAAGGGTGCGGAGCCTGGGGGTCCTGAGCCTAAGGTTACGGAGCCTGGGGGTGCTGAGTCTGAGGGTGCGGAGTCTGGGGGTGCTGAGCCTAGGGGTACCGCGTTTCTGGAGG